GTACAAATTAAATGGTTTGCATTTGATCGCTCCCCTATATATATATATATATATATATATATATATATATATATATATTAGCTTTAACTTTTTTTTCTTTTTTAATCTGACCACCACCAAAGAACGATCCGCTCACCCACCACCACCGCCCATTCAACCATCACAAAAAAACAAAATCATATGTATAACACACAACCAATTAAAACTGAAGAAGAAGCATATGCGAAAACAAATCTAGTTTATTTCACCGATTTGTTGTACAAATGACACTTTTTAATTATTCCAAACTAGATCAAAAATCTTGTATCTAAAGAAAAAAAAAATTCCTAAACAATATCAAACCATAAACTAAATAAAAAACCCAAAATTTTAAATCGAACTCTAAACTAAATAAAAAACCCAAAAATTTAAATCAAACTCTAAACTAAACCTTAGATGGTACAATGATGTAGATGAACAAATCATTGTTCCAATAGGCTATCTCCAACAAATAGGTATCACCGAACCTATTTGATCCTGTCCCCTTCGCTCCTCTTGCTCTCTCTAATGCTAGTCTCTTTACAGCCTCTTTCGCTGCTCTCGATCTCTCGAACTTTATAGAGGGTTAATTGTTGGGGGATTCATTGGAGAAAAAAAGGTGTCGAAGATGGGGAACCCAAATGAGAAGTCGAGAAGAGGGGGGAAGGTTTTATATAACACACTTTTAATCTTTAGAGTAAATTACGAATTTGGTCCCTGTGGTTTGTTGATTTTTACAAAAAAGTCCTTAGACTTCATTTATTGTGGATTTGGTGCATGTGATATGCACTTCTGTTGGATTTGGTCCTTTGGCCTAACGACCGTCTACCACGTTCGTCAAAGTCGAGGGCATAAGGGTCTTTTTGCATTTTCCATTTTTTACACTTTTTAATTGACCTTTTTAAATTAGGTATGAAAATGTATATAATAAAACATGAAGGGCCAAATACAAAGAAAGTCATCTTTGTCTCCTATATTTCATCCCTCCCATCGAACCAGTGACCTTCCGGTGAAAGCCATTTTTTCTGGTGACACCTTATTTCCTACGAAACCCCATTTTTCGGCGACATCCCTTCTCCCCCTTTCATACACCATCATCCTCCCATCCTCCCTCCACCCATGTCACCCGCTTCCCCTTCCTCGTGTATGCATACTAAAAAAAACCACCATGAACCCACCTTGTAACTGTGAACTCGCCCCCACTAGCACCACTGTCAGCATCTCCACGCCACCACTACTGAAACTTCATAACCGAGAAGATGGAGGTTTCAGGGGAAGGAAACATCATAAAGTGGTCACCGAGTGTGAAAGGAGGAGGAAATAGCGGTTTACCGGAACTCTCTCACCGAAGTAGAGTGAACCCACGAGAGGGATTGTGCTGGTGGTTTTTAGCAGCCGAGAAAAACTAGAGCAGGGAGATCAATGGGAGGAAGAGGATGTGGTGAAGGGTAGAAGGAGAACATGAAAATAGTAGGAAATTATGGAACAACGATGGCGGTGGCTGGTTTAGGGTGGGGGGATGTTTGGGGACGATGATCCAATATATGTGTGTATATATATATATATATATATATACATATATATATATATATATATATACATATATGAGATACCAAATCTAAAATAAATGAAACTCAAAGACCATTTTTATAAAAACCAGCAAACTATATAGACCAAATCCATAATTCACTCTGATTTGCACTAAAATGGACAAAATTTGAGGATATTTTTTAATTTGTAATAATCAAATGGATATCCAAACAAAACCCCTACCCCTATCCCCTAACTACCCTCCCCTACTCCTAGGTGTAAAAACTCATTGTAATTACAAAAGGAGTCAAGCCAAGAAGTCCATTGCAAGTTGCTAGCAGTGAAGTGATAACACAATCCAAGCGTCGGTCGCGCGTACGGACAGTCTCCCCCTCTAATCATATCTTCTCTTCTTTCACACCCTTTTTAATCCCTAAGCATATTCTCTCTCCATCTCTTTCAGTATCACACACACATTCTCTCTTTCTTGAATCGCACAAATCTAGACTGTCTTACCCACTTCAATCGCGCCAATTCCTACTTGTTCAGCTCCTCAATCGCAGATCCAAACCACGGTATCACTTCCCATTCTTTTAATTTAGTTTTTCCCGACCTAATTTCAGTTGGGATTGTTGGGATTTACCCAAATCAAGCAAGATTAGTTCATCTTCTAGTTCACCTGCTTACATTCTGATTTTGTTCACTTAAAATTCATAATTTTATGTTTTATAACTGAGCCGTATCAAGGTCTTTTTACGAATTATGATATCTTTTTAGCTTGTTGCAGTGTCCGTTAATGCTAGGTTTTTTTTGTGAATTTTCTTTTTAATATAATTATGTATGTCGGGAATGCATATTCTTGAATGAGGTGTTATGTAATTAGGATATTCAGTGTGTTATGGTGGGATTTGGGGTGGGGGAGTTTTTGGGTGGTGAAAGATTAAGACTTTGACTAAAACTAGGTAGTTGACTCAACACTGTAGCCTATTGATTGGTTGAAAGATGGCTTTTGGTCAGTTTTAGTATATGGGGGCAGTATTGAAGTTGATTGTTGGTGACAATGTTGCTGTATAGCTGGCATAACTTTGTTGATGATTCCTGATGTAAATAACAAAATTTGGGAAAAAGTGCATATGGTTAATCTGGAAATAGATACTTCCTAGTTGACTTGATGATTAGAAGAGTTTATAACTATGAGGATCGATTATTTCTGGTCTAAGATGGGCTCAAAGGACAAGATAGCTGTAATCAGAAATGAATCAATTTTTTTAAACATGAAATGAAGCTCCATTTCTTCGTGTGGTAGTACTTACCCACATTATATTAGAACCTTGTATCTGACAAGTATGAAGGTTTTCATGGGACCTTTTAGTGCTTTTGTATAAAAGTTATACGCAAGTGTGTGATTTCTAATTTATTGTGAGTATTGTATGTTCTGTAGTTCTACATGAGCATGCTATAAGATCACAAAACCTCTTAAAAAAGGGTATTCATGTCAATGAGACATCTTCATCAGTGAGGCTTGCAAACCTATGTGTCTAAAGTATTTATTCACGGTCATGTCTTAGCTCTTAGGAGATACTTATGATGCTGAAGAATAGGGGTAAAGAAATTGTGGTTAGTTGACTGAACATGTGGAAAACAATAGGTAGAGGGGTAGCTTTGGTCTGGTTTGGATAAGTGAACAATGTTGTGACTTATGATAGCTGATCTTCATGAGGCTGTTGCTGCTACTTAGCCGCTAGGAGATTTCTTAAATTGGGGGAAAAAGGTACAACAAATGTGTCATTTGTAATTATAACAGCATGAAGAACAAGTAACTTGAGTTGTAATTACTTGCATTCTGGTTTGCGTAGAGAATGATACATATTTGATTCATGCTGAGGTTCCAACTTCCATCAAATATCTAGTGTTCGGTGCTATATATTTAACATAATTTTCAAGTGTGGGAGGTGGTGAAAGATTAAGGTTCCATTGATTTTTACTGTTTTCCTCCATTCCATATTCTCCATTTTGTGGGTTCCATCTTCACTTTTCTTTTAAATCGAGGAAATGGGATACCCAATCACACCTTAATTGCTACTCACAAGTCACACCATATAGTTTTCTGGGTCCCATCTGCAAACTTTTTGTCGTTCTACAAGAAGATTCAGCTCTGGAGAAACCCTTAAATAAATCAACCAAAATTTTATTTGAGAAGATTGTGTGGTTATTAGGAACTTGTGTGTGAAGCAGCACATGACGCCTTAATTCCTGTTTGATGGTTTGAATCAGAAATCCTTTTTGGGCAAGAAAAGAGTTTTTTGAGACGGAAATGGAATAGTAACAGAGATATGAGGAAGTAGTAGTTGGCGTTAGCAGGTTCCTTTTGCTAACAAGCTGGTTTGTACAATATTCACTCAAAGTTCCTGATAATGTTTCTTTAACATTAAGATGATGATGCTCCCATACTGTTCCCCTTAAGTAAGATGGCAGGATCTGTTATAAAGTGAGCTAGGTACACTTTGGCATGCAAGAGTCCGACAACTATCTTAGACATCATCTTGTCCGTAGGAAGGAGTTGGTCATCAGAGTAACTTAGATTTACTAGAAATTTGCTAAACATATACTTCTTCAGTTAGTAGGTGGTAAACCTAGACTAGTTGGGACTGGTTTAAAGTTCTAAGAGGAGATTAGAGTGTTGCACTTGTTTTTTGTGCATTGACTCGGTCGCACTCTGTTGTTCTTCATGAGCATTAGTGTCTTGAAGATTTAACGTGATATTTTATAGTGGAACTAGTTAAGATTAAGGTTAATCCTGCAAGTAGATGCGAATCATGGATGACTTGCTCTCCTGATACTGTGTGCTAGGGACAGAGTGCATGGGGACGTAAAAAGGGGGATCCTATCAACTTGTTCGAACCTGAGATAATAAGCTCATGAGCTTGGTCTTACTTCATTGTCATTTTGATTCTCTATCAACCAATAATGTGGGACAATTAACATGGTTAAAGATAACCTGTTTGAAGTCCAGAGTTGTGGTTAGGGGTGAAATGCCGCTCGAATCCAGAGCTAGCTGGGTGCACACTGTGTACAACTCACTTTGACTTGCTTTTGTTAGGAAAAAGGGTTTTCCAATTTATAAGGCTTTATTGTTTCTCCTTTAGAGGGTTGATACATCATGCCTTTCAAATATTTTTGTACAATATCTTCTCATCATTTGAGCTCTTTGGTCAGAGACTTCCCATTTTTTCGTTTGTGGAAGGATTCTCTTGATTCAGCCATGTCTTTTCCAGTAACAATTTATAGTGTTTTTCTCTTCTTCAGGATCTTTGTTGGTACTGCCTAGTCTCCATGGAGGTGGCTGTGGCAATAGCTTTGAGTGGCAGTGGCCTCTCTCAGTCTGTTTTGATTTGATATCACCTAGTCAACTGAAGCATGAAGATCTTAATAGAGGACTTGAGCACGATGAACTTTAGAGAATATATTTTCAGCGAATTTATTGCTTTGCACATTTCTTCTTCTGGTATAGTTCGTTGTAATATTCTGTCAGTTTAAGAATTGGTGAGATGAGAAAGATTGAGATGCTAGCTTTTGGAGTATCAGTGACTCATGTCAGTCAAAAACCATATCTAGAAGGTGTAGGAGGGAAAGTTAAGATATATTGGTCATAGGGGGTAGAAATCCTGCACTACGTAAACTTGATAGGAAGGTGCCTAGATGGTTATCTCATTTGTCATTCTAGATGTCAAAACTCAAAATCATCAAGTTCTCTAAAATGTATCTCTGTAACTGCATAGATGTTTATTTATAATTAATCAGTTTGTCCAACTTATGTATCCATGTTTTACATTAGTATGTGCGTGTATGCGTGTATGCCTGTATGTGTGTCAGAAAAGAAATCACAAGGGTATTTATTAATGTAAATGAAAAGTCAGCTTTTAGTACTTAAGTTTGTGATTAACTGTTGTATTTTTAGTACTTAAGTTCATAATTAACTGTTTTGCATGCATGTCTAGCTATTGTGTTTCTGGTATTTATTTATTTATTAAATAATCTCACTGTATGCCGTATGAAATGAAAAGTCGGCTTTTAGTACTTAAGTTCGTGACTAGCTGGCCATTTGAATTTTGAGGAGTGCCTCAGGAAAGCGGTGTGCCTAGACACCAAAAAGAAAACAAGAGTGCAGGCCTTGGCCCTATCCTTCCTTTGACAATTATGCTTTTCAAGATCCGTGGTTGGCTTCTTTATTTGGTGGTGATTTTTAGTCTGAATGCTCTTTGTATTTATTTCTGATTGTGTTAACCAGGCCAAAAAAATTCTCTCTTTAGTCCCACATAGGATTTTAATATTCATGAGCTTTCTTCTATATCAAATCCATTTGTTGTAGATGATTGTCATCATATGAAACTAGGATGTGCTTATTGTGGTCATTCATCACATTCTTCGTTTACTCTCATAAACATACTGTTGCAGACTTGCAGCATAAGTTATTTCATACCAAAACCTCTACCTTCCACAAAAGTATCATTTCCCGGCTTTTGTTTTGCAGGTGCGTGGTTCTCATAAGCCCCTGTCAGAAGCTACTTGAATCTGCAGGGGTCAACCAAGATATTCTTAGTTCTAACTCCTTGGGGAATCTGTGGCCCCATTGTAAGCTTGCTGATTATAAAATAGGATGAATCTTTTATGAGATGTATATAAATAAAACCATCCCTGTTTGCACATCTATCAAGTAACCAGATGGATATGTAGGAACAGTTTATGCATTGCTAGTGTTAAATCATTTTTATATTTTTAATCTTTTTGTTCTTGTTATGGTTGTTAAAATTGCTTTATATTCTCTGATGGAACTTTTCAGTCGCACAGCTATCAGTCGGTATCATCAGTCAAATGATTGAATGTTGATGGGGTGGTTTTCCAGCGGCTACTGCATCAGATGAGTTGTAGGAACTCTATTATGCTTGATCAGCACAGCAATGGGCATTCTCCTTACAGTTTTTCAAGGGCCATTGCTATTGTTCTTTCTATTGCTCTGCTGTCTGGTGAACAAATTCCAAGGTCTCACTACTGATGGTATGCCAATTTATTCATGTTCGGCTGTTGGTAATGTCATATAAAGATAGAACTACGAAGTTTCTGGATGCAATAAATGATTGTTGACTGAGATTATTGGTAGATTACATATTTTAGGCCACAGGGAGGATCCAAGAAGTCATGTCACCAGATCCTCTTTCTATCTTCTTTGCTCTTCAAGTTTAATGATAAATAATATACCAAAACATGCTATCTAATTATGATTTTACTTCTTTGCTTCCCAATTTGTGTCTTTTACTAATCTTCAAAAATTGCCCTGTACACCCATATATTTATATCAAAACTTAAAAAACTAATTATGTATGCCCTCATTGGTAATCAATACAAGCACAGTGAGTTGCATAATTCTTTCTCTCCCTCTATGGATGTATATATGTTTGTGCGGCTGTGTGTGTATATCTATTATGGATACTTCATCTTCCATTGTTCCTGTTGGTCTACTCCCTCACTATATGTTCAAGAAAATATGGTGTCCGCCATACCAACAATTTGAAAGTGTGTCTAATTGGTGGTTCTAATTTGGACTCCTGCAATCTTGAAGAATATGTGTTTGATACCAAGAAGGCCTTAGCAATTTTGATCGCAGGCCATTCATGCATTGCTCTTTGTTTATTCATTCTATGCCTTTCCATATTTGTATGTTTTATGTATACTACTCAACTTCTGTTATCCGTTGAAATCAAGTGCCGCTATCTTAATATGTTTTTGCTTTTCAATGATCATGTGCTGGAATCTTGTAGCATTAAGGTTGCTTGTTTTGTATTCCAAGCAGCTATGCACACACTGCCATACCTTAGTTTTTGAATAGTTATTGTGCTATTTCAATTTTCAGACAATGTGGTATTGGGGGTGTTCTTACTCACAATGGATCCCTACGACTAGGGATGGCAAAAAAAACCTGTACCCATCAAGAACCCGATACCCAAACATGGTTTGACCTAGGAATTCCCAAGTTGACTGGGGATGGGGATTCCCCTCAACCCTGACCTCGAATATTTAATAATAATAATTATATAAATATATTGTATATAACTATATATAATAAACATATATATATATATATATGATATAATAATAAATATAATAAAACGAAAAAAAACCGAGTCAAATGGTTTTTTCCCAAGTTGCGCACTGCAGCAAAAAGTTCATGAATAGATAGTTATTGCAGTAGTATTTGTCCCACATTACCAAGTCGTCAAAATTGGGATATGTATATGTGGTTTGAGAACCCACCTCCTTGAGCTAGCTCTTGGGAGTGAGTTCTACCTAAGCCCATTTATCATGGTATCAGTGCGGGATTTTGTAGGCGATGTGGGAATTGCATTCGTTTGGAACCTGGCCTACATGCTACGTTAGAGGGAGAGTATTGAAGTAGAATTTGTCCCACGTCACCAGGTTGTCAAGATTGGTATATGTATATATGTGGTTTGGGCTCCTCTGAGCTAGCTTTTGGTAGTGAGTTCTACCCAAGCCCATTTATCATCAAATTTCATTGAGGATTTTTGTTGGGTATGTGATTGAAAAATCTTTTTGTTGAGGCATGCAATTTAAAACAATATTGAAGTTAAAGGTGATCAATTTATCAACTTTTCTTTTAAAAATCTTTGAACCTTGAGGCTGTAATTAATAACTTTATGATTGGCACTTCTATAAGTAGGAAAGAACTCACCATATGTTTGAAATATAATATTCTTGTTTGTATCTTCTCAGGTGAAGCTCTTGTTAATTTCCGAACAAGCATTATTAGTTCGGATGGCCTGCTTCGTCAATGGAGACCAGAGGATCCTGACCCATGTGAGTGGAAAGGGGTAACATGTGACTTGAAGACCAAGAGAGTTGTATATTTGTAAGATCCCAAACCGCTAACCTTATCTTGAATGCACTAACTACTCTTTTTAGAAGCACTGGTTTATATAACTGTCTTAAAGATAAACCATTTTATGCAAAGAAACACTTTTAGTTGCTTCTTCCAATTCGATACCAGAAGTGTTCATCTGCAAACATATAAAGAATGATGGGACTGGTATCTCGTGTCTACATTCTACAACATTTTATTAAATGTTCTTGGCTGTGTTTATTTGAAAAGTTAAAGAGTGGCTGATCTCTATTCATACATGATTCATATGTTCTTGTTTTGTTGTGCCCCCTTTCAATCACTAAATTCTTAATCCATTTAATGGGTATAATTCTTAAAACCGATTACTATTTTCATTCACCTCTACTATTATTGCTTCATTGCTAGAAATCACATGTGAATGTGTCCTGAAAATCCATCCTACTCTTGCGCATTAGTTCAAAAAGCTTATAAAGTTGATCTGATGAAGCAGAGATTAGCTCAATCTTTCCTTAAAGACGTAAACCTTTTCTTTTACTCACGACCTCTTTTTTTATGAATCTTCTACTGTGTTGAGTTGTCATCTATTATAACATATTAATAATTAGCTATGAGAAGTCTGATTCTTGTTGAAAGCTTTGTACATTTGTAAGTATTATAATTCCTTTGGTTTTCTTTTTTTCTATATAAATTTACAGGAATCTTTCAAATCACAAACTAAGTGGACCTGTATCACCAGATATTGGAAAGCTAGATCGTTTAAGATTTTTGTACGTGAATTCAAGGCTCTCTTGCTCTTTCCAATGTTTGTTTATGTATTTTACTAATCCACTAAGGGACCCACTACTTATGCTATATATATCATGTATATAGGGATCTTCATTACAACAACTTTTATGGGGCAATTCCTCCAGAGTTGGGAAATTGTACAGAGCTGCAAGGATTGTAAGTACATTAGTTCTACTATTATGATATGTCGTAATTTTAACATTCTTGAAATTGTATTCAATGGATATGCAGAAAAAACATAATTTGAAATATTGATCTCATTTATTTATTTGTAATTGTAAGATTGTTTTTTGACAGATTTTTGCAGAATAATTACTTCAGCGGGATTATTCCTACTGAAATAGGGAATCTTTCGAAGCTTCAAACATTGTAAGTTATCTAAATATCTTCTTTAAGTACGAGAATCATGCGTACTTATATTGCCTGGGAATAAACAAATTCTTAACCTATGCTGTTAATCGCACCGCTGTAGCGGTGCTATCGCGGTTAGCGGTCATGGGACGAATAACGGTGGTCAATAGCGGTCCCGTGATTAGCGGTGCTATTGACCGCTAAATGACCGCATTTTGAATGCAGAAAAGCAGCCGCATAACAGCTATTTGTAGGTAGGTAGTTTTGGTGTTAAAAATGTAATTTTGTGGGCTTTTATTTAGGACTTGCATTCGGTTTTATTTTAGTCCAACGATATTAAGGCTTCAGTATTCTTATTCTTTTGACTAGGACACCATTATCTTTATATTTTTTGAACTTGGACACCATTATTCTAATTTTTTTGGATTTGGACACCATCACTTTGATCTCTTGATTTGAATAAATGTATTCACATTGTTCAATTATTTTTATTTGGACTTAGGCGTCATTATTCTTATATATTTTTATTGAATACATAAAATATGTTGAGTTATGTATGCATATATATAATTTTAATTATTATATGAACCACTATTTTTGGACTGGTATACCACCACTTTACCATCGCGATAACCGTTATTTCAAATCACGGTCCTGAACTTTATATTATATTTTGATTGTAACAGCATAATTCTTAACATACTTAAGATTATTGCCATCGAGAATTACCAAATGGATCCAAGGGTGGTTCATTTTTGGTAAACTGAAACCATACTTTTCCAGTCTGGCAGCATGGGGATTCAGTCACTAAAATAGGCAAGAAGTTGTCATGTGATCACCATGTACCACTATTTAGCTCGTTTAATGACTTTCCAATATAGTAGGTTGTGAAATATAATACTTCTTTAAGAAGTTCATTAATATTTAAGGGTTATTTATGTTAACAAGCCATTATTTACTCTACAATTTTTCTGTGGTCATTATTTGAGCAACAAATGAATTTCTTACAAAGGACCCAACACTTGATTAAGATAAATGACTTCAGTTTGTTTTCCTTCACTTAGGTAAAATTATTGATTTATTTGATGATGGTAAATATGCTTATGGGAAGCAATCTTACTTGTCGTAAGTACGAAAAGCTGTACTTGAATCGTCACTCATCTTCGTGCATCCAAAATATCTCACAGTATAAATGGTTCCAAATAATCTGAAGTGCCTGTAATATATACATACATACACATATACTAAGCAGTTAACACATTTGGCATGATTTCAACATCATACATGTTAATCTTGTCTTTTTCGTTATTGTAGGGAACAATGCTAAACCTGTATTACTAGCCTTTTACCTATAAATAACTTGAGTTTTGTTTCGTATGTTGCAGGGATGTCTCTAGCAACTCTCTTAGTGGAAGTATTCCCACATCACTTGGGAATTTGAGGAACCTTTCAATATTGTAAGGATGATACCTATTTATCTCCATTTAGCTGTCTTGACTCGTTCACCCTTTGGTCTAGTGTTGCCTTCTGGCGAACAGCAGTCTCCCATTGAATTATTTGTAGATTTTGTTGTTGAATTTTTTGTTGACTCCACTCTTTATAATTGTGAAGCAACGTCTCCAACAATTTTCTGGGCGGGCCAATCCCATCAGATGGTGTTCTTGACCAATTCGGAACCAACTCGTGAGTGCTGAATTCTCATTCCTTGATTGTATAATTGTGTATATGGTATCAATGTTTCACTAAACAGTGGATGTAATGTACCATTGATGACGAAGTTAGTGTATAAGACATCTCCAACATTGGGGGAAGTTTTTGTAATCCATTGCACAACTAGTTACCAGTATCTAGCATTTTACTAGAAGGGCATTCTTAACTTCCAGGAAAAAAAAATTGATCAAAGAAGAATTTTGTTACAGTGCAAAAATTCTTACCTCTAACAATAAAACTTAAATTATTGATTTTCTGCTTGTAGTATTTAATGTTCAATTTACAAATACCATAACAATATTGACATTAGAACTTCCTACACTTTTTCAAAGTTTGGCAGGCATTGTTATTAATTATTGTAAGTGAGATGCTTTTTACTTGTCGATTCGGGAAAATCTTGTTTTGGAATGGGATGATTATGAGTGAGTTTGGAGATGGTTAATTAAGGATTTATTGGTTTATTGGCTTATAAATCAACTGATGAATGGAGTTCTTGAACTAAATAACATGTGAAGACAGAGATGTAATAATGTTCAGCGGTGTTGTCTTGATAATCTTACATGAATAGTGAGAGGTCTGACAAAGTCACGATGCTTAACATTGTTTCATCATATGTATGACCTTGGAAATTCATTGTTGAAGATCAATTGATGCTGCAACTTGCATAACCAGCTAGTTTGTTATACAGAGAGTAAATTAGAAAAATCGTCCCTGGACTTCAAGGGAAGTTTGGCTTTTGTTACTCGACTTTCGAAAATGGACTCTACAGTTTGCATTTCGTTATGGATTTCGTCCCTGGCCCTAACAGGCCTCAAGTTTCTTCCGTTAAGTGCCCCACGTGAAGGCATTTTGGTCATTTTACCTTTTCCACCATCCCCTGGGTTTTCCGACCTCATTGTCGGGCCCTGCCTGCAGGTTCTGTTTCTGCACCTCAGGTTCTGCTGGTGACGGAAATATTGCTACAAGCTCGTCAACAACACCATTTTCCAGCTTAACCAAACCCTAATGGGACTTGAGCGCCCAAGCTTTTAAATAACCAAAATGCCTTCACGTGACTAGCATGTGGGGGCCTTTAACTGAATAAACTTAACGCCTGTCAGGGTCAAGGACGAAAACTGTAACGAAACCAAAACCCAGGGACGATTGTTGTAATTTACTCTAAATACAGTGTATTCAAATTGAACCGTGGGTGATTGATTTACATAGGGTTCTGCAATATTTGTGAATCATGAGACAGTAATATGATGTAACTTTATATATATGAATTATTGAAATAGATTGTTAATTTTTGGTCTTTACTACTTGCAGTTTTCTTGGAAACCGTGGCCTGTGTGGTAAGCATATCAATCAGTTGTGCAAAGATGACAATGGAGGTTCAGCAGGCCCGCAGCCCCCAGGTTTGGTTTAACTTTTCGCCTAATATTGTATTCGAATTTCATTCTTATACTTACAGATGATAATTAATAATAATATCGTTTTTGTTGATTAATCGATGTTTTTTTTCCTTACAAAAACAACAGGAAACCAGAGTGCGAAGAAGAACTCTGGACGGTTACTTATAAGTGCTTCTGCAACTGTGGGTGCATTGCTTCTGGTTGCACTTATGTGTTTCTGGGGTTGTTTTCTTTACAAGAAACTTGGTAAAAATGATGCCAAAGGTCTTGCAATGGATGTCAGTGGAGGTGAGGTTCTAATAATATTTATTTTATGAATCCAACCACACCGACATATGGAATGTAGAAAAGTGAAAGCTGTTGACTTTTCATATGGTGCACCGTTAGAAATAATTAAATTTTATTGATTCAGGTGCATCCATTGTGATGTTCCACGGAGACTTGCCATACTCTTCGAAAGATATTATCAAGAAGTTGGAAACGTTAAACGAGGAGCATGTGATTGGTGCTGGAGGCTTTGGAACAGTATACAAACTGGCAATGGACGATGGAAGTGTATTTGCTTTGAAAAGAATAGTGAAGTTGAACGAGGGATTTGATCGTTTCTTTGAGAGGGAGCTCGAAATTCTTGGAAGCATTAAGCATAGATATCTAGTGAATTTACGAGGATATTGTAACTCTCCAACATCAAAATTGTTAATCTATGACTATTTATCGGGTGGCAGTCTAGATGAAGCTCTCCATGGTAATGATCTATTTCTCCCCCTCAATCCTAATAAACACCAATACATCATGTGCAACAACTGATAGATCAAAGTTTAGTTTCAACAGTAAAATGTTCTCCTATATATAGAGGGTCAGGTTCAGGGAAAACTGCAAAAAAAATGAAAATTGAGCAACACCCTGTTAACCGTTCTTCTGGACGGTATGCACATGTGCATACAAGTAACTTGTAAGCAATTTTTTTCGGTATGCACATGTGCATAAAAACCAAAAAACAATTTCAGTTACCTGTATGTACATGTGCATACCGTCTAGATGAATAGTTACCAGGGTGTTTCTCGGTTTTTTTTTTTGGGGGGGGGGTTTCCCCTGAACCTATCCACCCCCTCCCACTCTCTCTATATATATACACACTGTTTTTTGCATATATACTTCATGAAGAAACCCTATCAGAATATTTGTACTCCCTTATCCCATGAAGAAACCCTATCAAACAATTCTATTAAAAATACATTTCTTAGAGCTCCTTGGTTGATGCATAGAGAACCTCTTCCTGAATTAATAGGATCAGACTGTATTCAATTAATAGGATCAGATCTTATTCAATGATATTTTATACGAGAATCTTATTCCGATTTTGGATATACGAGAGAAGTAAGAATACCCTCCTGAAAGATTAATCTGATCTCTAATCAATGAGCCACTACGAATGTGTTCATGAACCGTTTCCCAAAAAATCTAACCTTCTATGAGATAAGTGATGCCTTTCAGATCATCAATTTTCTGACAATCATTTCCTTGGGCAAAAGTTGTGGACTTCTTTTTTGGTTAATTTTTATGACGACTATGATCTCCTTTGCAGAAAAAGCTGAGCTACTAGATTGGGATGCTAGGCTTAACATCATCTTGGGAGCTGCAAAAGGGTTGGCTTATTTGCATCATGATTGTTCCCCTAGGATCATACACCGAGATATAAAATCAAGTAATATTTTGCTTGACGGAAATTTAGAGGCTCGAGTTTCAGACTTTGGGCTTGCAAAATTGTTAGAGGATGAGGAATCTCACATAACAACCATTGTAGCTGGAACATTTGGGTATCTGGCTCCAGGTAGGATCATGAATTTTGGTTGCACGATAATTATTCTGTATTATCGTCTTCTTTCTGCCTTTTTCTTTACTGTTGGGGTGGAGATACCAGCTTTCTGGGAGGGTATCCAAAGTAGCAGATTACTTAAAATAAAATTCATGCTTCATGATACTGTAATACATATTTAAACATATGTGATAAATGTATGATTTCTATTTTGGGTAACGTACTTTTAAAATCTTCATTTCGGTACCAGAGATGTGTCATCTCAAACTTTTAGGTACCCGGTTTACCTAATAACCTGAAAATGCTGAATAGGATCAGTTTTTTGCTAACATGGGATCAAATTCTTTAAACGCCCAGTAATCAAAAAAATAAAATTAACGTCATTATATTGTAATATTTTTTCAATCGGAGGAACTGGATCATGTAATCATTAAAAAATATTACAAATTTCAAAATGTGTCTGAATTCCTGTGTGTTAACTTGTATTCCAGAATATATGCAGAGTGGTAGAGCAACAGAGAAGACAGATGTTTATAGTTTTGGTGTACTTATGCTTGAAGTTATAAGTGGGAAGAGGCCCACTGATGCATCCTTCATTGAGAAAGGCCTTAATATTGTTGGCTGGGTATGTCTCTTTTTCTTCACCTGTTGTATGCCTTTATATTCTATATAAGCACTGACCAATTGTGTTGTAAATTGGCTTTAATTCAAACATGCATGTAGGATGGAAATATGACAAACCCATGTGATGGTTTCCCATAGAGTTCCCTTCTTTTACAAACCCAATAATTCGTACAAACCAGTTTTCATGTGTTGTTTCGTATATGAAACAACATGTGTGAAAATGCAGTGTTTATACAATGTTGTTCCATATGTGAAACGTTCAGGATTGTTTTTTTCGCCACACAAAATAGTCTTGAATGTTTCACATATGAAACAACATTGTATAAACACTGCATTTTCACACAGTTTGTACAGATTATTAGGTTTGTAAAAGAAGGGGACTTTATATATATATATATATATATATATATATATAGAGAGAGAGAGAGAGAGGGAGGGACTATCATGCAAGAAGTTCGTATTACATGTAATCATGTCTGATCTTGGAACTTCTCGCCTTGTCATTTGAACTTGACCCTATATATATGTGTGTCTTGCACTAATCATGTAAAGTGGAAACTTGAGAGAGAATAAATAATATGAAGTTCATATTACTGATAGCAATGGCTTGTAAATAACATAATAACTGAAAGAATACAACTTTGATTGTTATGATGAAATAAGCAACAGGACTGTAAATTAGAAAACAGTTGATGCCTTCAGGTAGAGTTTGCAAAATAAATGTAACCACTACTGATGCAAATACAAGTAATACTTGGAGAAAAAATTACTTACAATTTATTATATATAAAGTTCGATAGTTCATAATTAGTAGCAAATATTGCCATGCCATCCTTAGCATTCAAGTTCTATACTAATATATGCACCTAGCTGAACAGGATACAAAAGAGAAGAATACTAGAAGTTTAAAGATCGATAAAGATCTGGACCAACCAACCAAGTCTCGTAATTAGGATTTTTAGAGCCAAATGTCTTTCAAGAAAGGCTAGTACAACCAAAAGCTCGCTTTTGAAATCCAATTTCATATTCCGTTTGTGTTGATTTGGATGTCCATACTAAAGAATCTTGATGCTATAATTGGAATTTTATCAAAATATTACTTATAATTACTTTGAGCTTTGATAACTTTTCCTCAAATATGCATTTCTGTGAGATACACAAGTAGTAAACTTGCTTCTTCTATGTTTCAAAAAACTTGGGAACTTGCTCTAATGGTAACTCTTACCCTTCACTCACCTTCAACTAGAGATTTTGCTTTTTTTAACCACTTGGGTTGTGGCGCACTGGTTAAGGCTCAGGTGGATGTGGTGGAAATCTCATCTTCCTTGGGTTTGAATCTAAGCGCCGCCAAACCCCTTGTGGCCCGGATACCCACAGTTACCCAGAAAAAGATTTTGCTTTTTCCATTGCACCAAGAACATTGATTTATGCAAGCATTTCAATTTTCTAGTCTGATGCATGATTTTCTCACTTTTGCACAATCATGACCTTCTCTAGATGACCCTGAAATTTCTTTCAACTTAAAATTTATGATTAATGCACGTGTGCATGTGATGTGCATACCGTAAAGATGAATGCTTACTAGGGTGTTCCTCATTGTTTCATTATTTTTGAGATTTTCCCCAAACTTGACCCATTGTACCAATAATTCATTTTTTAAATGTATTTTCTATCTAATCTCTTCTTTTACAGCCTAACCCCATTTCTGTTTTCAGTTGAATTATTTAATAACAGAAGATAGGCAACGTGAGATCATCGATGTAAACTGTGAAGGAGTTGAGTCAGAAACCCTCAATGCTCTGCTTTCGGTCGCGATTCAATGTGTGTCTTCAACCCCAGAAGATCGACCCACCATGCACAGGGTGGTTCAAACACTTGAATCCGAGGTTATGACTCCATGCCCAAGTGACTTCTATGATTCCACGTCCGATTAAAAATACCAAATCAAAACGGGTTTGTGTTTTCATATTATGCCACCATCTACTGCTTTGTGTAACAGAGAATGTTGCAAAAAAGCACAGGGTTAAGAAGCTTTGTTGGTCTGCCAAATTTGTTTTCGGCTTGAAACTTGATTCTTCGAGCAGATCGACACCTTTCTATCTTTGCACATTCTCCTCAAGATTTGGAAGCTCCGTCTACAAAAAGTGTCTTTCGTTTGCAGTAGTTATGCTCGGTTTTCTTGCCTCTGTGATTATATTTTTGGCTTGTCATATTGAAAAATGCATCGTTCTTCGTCCAAATGTATATGATGCTAGTTTTAACTGATTTTATGTCACACTTTATCTTGTCCATGCTCTTTTTGTATCATATGTTTCTTGTTTTAATCGAGATTAAGTTCTTTTTTGTCGTTTTTGCCAGTAGTTTCTGATCATGTTTCATGTTGTGAAAGTGTTATGTTTTCGTTCGCAGTTGTTACTGTTTTGTTCCGGGTTTCTTATCTGGTATTCAGTGAGTATTGGACCAAAATGTTATATTTTTGTGAGAACAGTGGTTGGTTTGTGAACTATGGAAGTTTGGTGACTAAAACGAACATCAACAGAAGTATGATTTCCCATACAACCAGTCCAATTATGGGTTAGGGGTCGTTTACTAAATGCTTACCGAGTAAGCGATTATTGATACCATTTACATCACCAATTGAGCATACAAGGACCAAGAATCTTACCAGGTAAGAGGCGTAACAAGGATCGAGTGTCATCTGTGGTGCAAAAAAAACGACTCTTACCCAGTAAGCATTTACTAGGTTGAAGACGCTTACCAACAATCTATTTTGATGGCCGATGATGTTACATGACAAGATAAGTAAGGGTAATTTCTCTTGCCGGTAAGCACTTATCCAATAAACATTTGGTAAACAGTCATTTGGTTAAATTCATGACTTTTTGACCTATTAAGGTTATATGCTTTATATTCATTAAAAGGTTATGAATTTAATTAAAATCTCATCCAATCATCTGCTCTTTTGTTATGACTCGAATAAAAAAGTACAACAAACTATCAGTTACGTCATTTTAATGAAATATATCCCCTTGAAATGCGTAGATAATTGATTGGTCTCTATCAGTTACGATTTTCCAAGATTGGTTACTAGGGACGATTTATAGCCATTTGTATTTTTAAAAAACTCGCACGTTCTACACTGCCATTAATCAACAATATTGATACTTAAAAAAACAAGCCGATTAAAGTCGATTAGACCTTAATGATTAGGTATAACTAGGTTTTATTAGTTATAGGGACCGGTTTGTGCTGTAACTGGTTATCTGGTGATGTTTTTTGATTCATTATCGGTTAAGGACTCGATTTAAAAGTGATTACGTAACGTCTTACTATTGTATTACCCTAATAAAAAAGGTTTTACTAGATGAAGTCAGGGGTGGACCACTCTATTGGATACGGTAGCACGGGCCATCACTTCATTCCTCCGTCTTAGGTAAAAGTTGCCACCATATCCTTTTGTATAGTGTAACTATTACGTATTTTGACCCGGTTTTGAATCTTGTTTGTGTCAAAAAATTGCAATAAAAGTAACCGTACAGTGGTTCTCGTACTCCCCCTTTATTGTCCTTACGTGGTAGGATTTTTTTACGAGTCTTAAATATGTATCTGCTATGATTTGATGTGTGTATTCATAAGTTATAAAAAAAACGGTTTATCGTTTTTTTCGTAAAACCATACTTTTTTTTAATTAATTTCCATTTTAATTTATATTATACTAATTATTTTGTGTTACACTTGAAACATTTATGAATCTATTTATTGGCAACTAACAAGATATGTAATTTCATTCGACTATAAAAACATATCTTAACCACAAAGGTGGTGTCTGATTGGTTTGAGTTTGGCTCCAAATGTCAAAAAAATACCAGAAGGTTTGAAGTTCAAATTCAAGGAGGAATAAAAATTCTCTTGTGGCCACGGAGGTTCAAATGCGATGACTCTGGATTATTTACAAAATGGATGGTCGTCCTGAGATTAATCGACTCGCATAGCATCCAAAACATACATTTTAGTACTTATTCAAAACATCCGTTTTGAAAATATGTGATTGACAAATAATTTTAAATAATTAAATTGACTTTTACTTTGAAGTTCTTTAAAATAAATACGACACTACGTCTATTTTGAGTAGAATTAAAATAATTACTTATGGCTATTACTTACAGCTTAATTAGACTTATTGGTCTATCTGGCTTATTCGCGCAGCTCATTTAGATTATTTTCTTACGGCTTAATCGCACAAATAAAAATGGTGTTATCCTCATTCAGCCACAAAAATGACACATCTACCCTGTATTTAAAGCACCACCTCCTTCCCATATGAGATACCCCATCGTCGGCCTCTTTATGATTTTTTGCTTTGATGTTCAAATAATATGTTATCTAAAAAAAATCGTTCACCAAAATAAGAAAACAAAAAGGGTATCCGGGACATTGTAACTAGCTGAGCTTCAAAAAATTGTAAGCGGTGGTAGTCGATCAGGTTTTTGGTAACCGGAGCCTCCTGTAACCGGTCTCAAGCCTCAGACCTCTTTCTTATTGTTTGCACCAAACATCATCAATGCTCGTGTAGCCGTTCCTTAGCATTCTCATTCTATTTTTTGAAAAAACGCCCCCTCGAAACTTACCAAGCAAAACCGCTTGTCAAACTGTTTATAGTTCATTATGTGAACTACAATATTCAGTTTATTTTGTTATATTGTGTCATTTTAGTCGAGCTTTGGGGGTTAGATTTATTGTGAATACATGTGTAATTGGACTCGTGCATTGGTGTCTGGTGATGGTTTCAATTCTTGAAGGGCCATCGACTTGTAGCCATTGTTATACCTGTCATTCCCCTGATGCACCATCCATATCTTCAATGTGCGTCATGCTCTAACCATACCGCACCCATGACTCCTAGAACGTGTCTCTAACTAGCATTTGAATGAATCAACAAACACTAGTTTCAAAGATGATGTATCTCTACACTTAAGGAAACAAAGACTCTTCTACATGAGACGAACGTGCATAAAATGAATATGTTGATCAGTTAAAACTCCAACACAATGCGAGTAGAAATGCGCAAATATATGCTTAGGCTCAGATTTGAAATAAGCAAAGTGAAAAATGGAGTTTACTTGGTTGCCTGTGCAATTATGTTGCTTATGGAATTCGCTTCTTCTTTTGCGGCGTCCACTAACGAATCCTGCAAAAAGTAAAATAAAGGGAACTGAAACTTGAGACCTTTTGAGCGATAGATGTATGAACAGATGTGTGCTACGGATATGGAGTTCTTACCTGTGCAGAAACTAGACGAGCAACTGTCTTCTTGCTTGATTCCTGAAGTTCACCGGCTATTAGAATCTCATCCAGTATGTAGTAAGCCTGCAACATGATACAAGAAGAAACGTATTGAATTAAGATAATCACCAGATAGAGGATACAAGGATTTAGTCTTTCCGTCCCGTGAAATATGCAATGCTTAAGCTCTTTAAATAAAGGAATCTTGTGAACCCAATACCATCAACTTATTGGTAACAATGGGCAAGTCGATAATTTTACCATGAAAATCTTCAGAAAGGGAATTGTCTCACATGGGATTGATGCGGTAATGCATAACAGATTCATGTGAAAGGGAAAAGAAGCATCTTAATGCCTATGCAATCTGATGTCCTATGTGAAGCCTGCAACAAGGAATGATCTTTCTACAGGAGATTTTCTTATAAATTTAATGGCAAAACTATAGTCACAAAGTTGACAACATTGATCCTGCTAACAGGAGAGAGACTGACTCAACAATTGCTAAGAGGAAGTACAAAAAAGAATCAATGTCTGTGAAGACCTTGACTAGTTCAAATACTAGGAAACAAGTTGGAGCTTTTTTTTTCTGGTTGGTTCAAGTCAAATGTGTAACATCACGAAGTCTACCATTGTGAATACTCCTCAAGTCCTGTGATATGTTCGTACACGATCTTTTGGTTATTAAGTTTGACAAGTCAATAAATTTTTTGCTCGGTGTGTAAAATGGAAAGGTAAGTTTTAATTTGAGCACAGTCGAAAGCAGGTTCGATTTTCCAAACATGTTTAATAAGCAACCTTTTGTCTAAAAGGTGTTTTAAAAAAATAAACCAAGGAATTGTAGTGATGGTGATGTAAAAGCATATTAGTACCAATGTTTTGCAGGGGATCATCATGCTATGTTATCCCAGTGACCTTGTGGAAGGGTTTCAAATTTCATAGAGACAGACGTTGTCTTAGTTTGTGTGTGTGAGAGAGAAAGAGAGAGAGGAGACGAGTATAAGACGGATATTGAGGCATTGAGCTGAGATAAAATAACATACCTTATGAAAGTTGAAGATCAAGTCCAGCTCACAGACCTAGCAAACAGAAGTTCCAAAGTAGTGTCAAGTTCCAGATATTAATGAGAGTTTAATTATTGTTTTAAAATGGATCAAGTTTAGATGGCTCACGCTTCCAAAGTAACGGTCAAGAATCTCAACAAAATGATGAATGATTTCAAGGATCTCCAGTTCATTGTCTTCTTGGTTAATGCACATACAAAAGTAGAGGCTGGCATATCTGACAAGTAAAACATATTGGACTAAAACTAGTTACCCAAAAAGATCAACAAAAACATGCTGCAGGGGGATACGTGAATAAAGTATTTTAGGAAACGAAAAAAGGAAGCAAATCTAAAGAATATATAGTCCATGCTATACCTTTTATAAACAACTTTAAATCCCCTCCACTCAACAAAGTTAGAAAGCTTGGGGCCACGTGTAAGAATCATCCCGCTGAGCTCTCGTATCACCTTTATAGATTTTGAAGCCATACCACACAAATTTCAGTGAAAACAAAATGAAAATATTTAAACGAACAGTTCAATACCAATACCATCTGCTAGAAATAACAAAATGTAAAATCTGTGAATGAGAAACACAAGTTTGTATTAATTATTTATGACAATGCAATAACCTGATACTTGTAGATCACCTAAATGTTTATCAAGTTATTTTAGAATGCAATGATCGAGATCTGTAACCTAATTATCATGCATTCAATCAGATCAGAACAGTATGCCATTCTTTATTAGGAGAATAACATACCTTACTTCTTTCCTTCTGGGAATAGGGTGAATACCACTTTGTCAATCTAACCTTTCCTTGTCGACTAATTAAGAGAACAAAGTGAATCTGCAACAAGAAAAATAATTGTCAACCTAATGTTTCCATTTATATTTTATGCACAAGACGTTACAGTAATGTATGAATACCAAACTTGGGGGTTTTCTTGTTTTTTCTTTAAGTTTGATGGGTTCCATACAGCATTTATATATTTATTTGAATTTCTGGGCTGCCAAATTCCCAGTATTTGCAAAATGTAGGTGTGAAGGAGATGAAAGAGCATAGCCAATTCTCAAATCTTGGTTAAATAAACACATAAAGCCTTTTCTTTCTTCTCACACACGGTGCCTCTCTCTCTCTCTCAACGTTTACATAGCAGCTATACAGCGATGCTTTGTCCCTACCTCCTCAGCAGACACCACCATCTATATTGTTCCCTCCATCACACTCATCTCCATCTTAGTTCTCTCTTCTCTTGCTTCATAACGATGTGGCGGATGAAGGTACATGAAATTTCGGATTATAAATTTTATTCAAATTAGGAGTCACTTTTAATCTAGTTCAAACTTTTTCCGTGTCAAAGAGGAGGACTACCCTATTACAAAGTAAAATTTTCCAATTAGGAGGCTATTTATCATAGGAGAATACAAGCATCCATGAATTCATATTCCCATTGGATCGGGTGATCAGGGTTCCTGATCAACATGATGGGTTTTGAGTATTTAGAGTTTAGAAGTTCGATAGGGATCGTACCCGGGGGGAATGAACATCTTAGCCCAAATTCCCCACGAATAGACATGACAAGCTAATGTATGATACTCCAGAAAGACCCTTGTTAGAGTCTCATCTCAATAGGTATCTAGGTCACTACCAATTACTTTATACTTTCTCATCTCAAGTTTCCACAACCCCAATTCAGTGTAGCTGTTTGGCCATCAACCGGATACAGATCCATACACATAACTTCGTCCAATTACCTCATAAGAACGTCCACTAGCACTTGCATGGATTAAGTCACATGATTTCACTAGCTTTGCATTATAACTCATTTAATAATTTGATATTAGTATTTATTTTGAGGCTTTTTAAAATCGTTCAAATATTCAAAAAAAGAAGTTGCAATTGGTCAAATGATATGACCAAGTTACATATAAAAAACGAATGCCTATAATAGGAAAATGCAAATGTAATGTTGATGTACTTTTACTTGTACAACAGCACATGCACAACCAGCAACTAGCTAACTGATGGGGTGTTTGGTTAGAGGTATTAAGCAGTGATCAATGGGAATGAAAACAAAAAAACTGTTTGGTATTATATAATATGATGGGCTCATTCCCTCTGAAGCCCAAATTTTCATTCCAGACTAAACCGGGGGAAATGAAATTCATTCCTATTTTCATTTTCATTTCATTTTTCATTCCTCAGCATGAACCAAACAGCCCCAATTATAATCACTCAAATTTATGTTTTGACAAGATAGGATCAGCAATTTAGCTTTCAAGATTTTCTTTCTTCTTGTCTTCCTCGCCCAAACTTACTCTCCTCCTTTCTAGTAGTACTGATAGCAATTTTTCTGTATGAACGCATGACATATCAAAGGAATATATGTGTATATATAAAGTGGTTTAACATGGTTGCTATAAGAAAAATACAGTACAGTAGGAGAGAAAACGAAAAGTGAGAATCTGGCATACCTATAAGCCTTAATGGTGATATCAGAATGATAGAAATAAGACTTGGCGAACTTACTAGAAACGATCTTACATAAGGGAGTTACTATAAGATTATAAGTCTACTTCAAAAATCAATTCGTACAAGCTGACATAGCTCCTATCCTGACTCCCGAAAAGAAGAAAAAACTTTATAGGGGCTCATTCCTCATAAGAGGACACTTATTGTTCATTGTTAACTGTTGTGGATAATTACCTCCCCTGAACTCCTTTTTGTGTCCTCAAACTCCTCCAAAATTACTTTTGGACTTCCCAAAATTAGCGCTGACTGAACTTGGCATGTAATATTGGGAGGAGCTCCAGCCTCCAGGTCAAATATACATGGAAAACGTAATAATGCTCTTCGAAGAAGTGTCAATTTTACACCAGGTCAAATATTTCCCTGTCCATCCCATACAACTTCCTACAATCAAGTAATCGCCTCAAAAGGGCATTGAGCTCATAACCATCCCCTAGATATACCCCCAGAAAGGGCTATAAGACGTGGATGCAATACTGGTCTTGCAACACACACATCAAAATGTTGCAATGAAAGGGCTGTTAGCATGCCTCCATCTTCAGCCATTATGCAAACTTCACTTTGCGTAAACGAATATGATCCAAACAGCCTTGAAGAACATAAAAAAGTTGATAACAAGGGAGGAAAACTACCCAACTAGCAGCACTACACAGCAAATGGATAAGGAAACAGGCCACAATTACCAATACCAAGCATTCAGGAGAGACGTAAGTGCATGCCTTAATAGTCTAGATATCTCCAATCCAGAACTTCAAAACAACCAACCAAGTGTGTAACATCAATGTAGAAGCACAAGCGTTGATATTCCCATATACCACATTAAACTCCACTAACAATTAAGCTATTGCAAAGCTACATGTTGACATGCTCATAATTCTCTAGTTTATGTATATGCAACTAGCAAAACTTTGGCACTGCTTCACTTCAAGAGAACTTCCACTTTGTCAATTAAACATGAACTTGAACATAACTCCTGTATGCCATGATATAAACACACCAGACATATTTATGTGCAGTGATGAATATCTTAATTCACAATATCTTTATTCTAATAACCATATTTTAACACTATACCTACAACCAATGAGCACCACTGAAGCACAAATGGTTGCACACTACTAACTTCACTTTTAGGTGTCTAACTAGCATCCAATATATGTGGGGTGATCACAATAACCTGTCCCAAATAGATGTGCTGTTGATGGGGATGATTCAACTTTGCAAACTTAGGCTTCCTCCATGTGGCCACATATAATGAATTCCGTTAAGATCTTTTCCCTTTTGTTTTCTGTAACAACTATTAATGTTTCTCAGACTCTTATAATCTAACTACCAGCAATTAACATGTTACTGATGATGCCACAAACACATGCACTTTGGAGATTTAAACAAAATACAACAAGGTTCTAAAAAGATGACGAAAGTTCTGTACAAATACAGGCTCGCATTTGTAATATGTAGATGTTACTTGAGGCATGAATCAGATTTAGGTGTATTCATATTAGACAAATTAAAACAAGGAAAAAAGAGTGATGAGGAATAATAAACTAACGATACTAATAGATCCTTGAACATTTTATGTTATCACGTAATTTATAGGCATAAATAACGCATTGGCAAGGTGGATCTTCATGAAGTTTTAAAATAAAAAAGAAATCAACAACCAAGCATAGAGGTTTACCCATAAAAAGAATTCCATGATGGAGGGGAGAAGGGGAGAAGGGGGGATGGAGAGGTAGATAGTGGGACAGAGGGAGGATCAAAGAGTCAATAGATAGGTTGCTAGGCTCCTACATTAGATAGAGAGTTGTTATGTTCTTCATACTTTCTTTTATGTTTTACTACTGCTTGTTGTAACCTTTTTTTTCTTACTGTCTACTTCTCTTAGTTCTTTTTCTCAAGAACTCTCTGTATTTTTCCACATTTTCCTCAATTTTTTTACTCTTCAACTTCTTCGAACTTTCTGAAGCACTCAAGTCTTCCCCAAAACCTTTTTGCAAGCACTTTTTCAAAAGTCGGGGGTCTTCACAGGTACAGCAAGATCGGCGTACATCGCACCCCCTAGACCCTACTTCCGAGTGAGACTAATTGGGTTCATTTGGTTCGGTTTAGTTCCAAGATGGTTTCAACAGGGAAAGATAACAAATCTTACACAACTTTCTGGTGAGACCTTCTTACTTGACCAAAGTAACAATCATAAATCCAATTTGCTATATTAACATCGTATATCTATAACATTATTATTGCTAGATTCCACATGTCTCTGCCAATAAATATCTGAAGACAAAATCAGTTATAACTTATAAGTAAGAATTAGCTATAAACACCACTTAAACAAGATCCGTGGGATGTACTCCCTCCCCCTCCCCCCTTCTTATAAAGTACACATGTTTAATCCTAAAACTGAAACAACACTGTCGTCTCTGAATTTTATCCTATGCTGTTATATCGGTCAGAATACGAAATATCGGTCAGGACCGATATTCGATATATCGGTTATATCGGTGATATATCGGTGATATATCGGTGATATATCGGAAATAGCGGTTAACATAATATTTCTTAGAATTATATATATAATATGCATTAATTAGAGTTTAGAAATATAGTTTCAAAAGTAAAACATCACATAATTAAAGTGTTCAAAATTTTGGGCTTTTGTTATTCCATGGGCCTAATTTTTTGGGCTAAATTAGGTCTGAATCTGAAATCAGTGAAGCTTCCTTACTCCACAACGTCGTCTTCTTTCTTGAGTTAATCACGAGTTCACGACTAACTTCAGACTTCTTCTCACAACTTCGACTTCTTCTTCTTCTCACGGCTTCGAGTTCACGTTCACGGTCTCTCTTCTCACAACGTCGTCTTCTTTTCTCGGTCTCTCTTCTCGATCTCCTCTGCTTACCAGGTTGCTACAGCCACAGCAGCAACTGTAATCGACACTTCTCGATCTCTTCTCGATCTCCTCTGCTTACCAGGTTGCTACAGAGTACAGCCACAGCAACAGATCCAGCGACAGCAACAGAGCCAGTGAATATATCGGTATATCGGTCCGATTTTTACCTCAAATATCGCTAAAAATCGCTAAAAAATCGCTAAATATCGCCGATAATATCGGCCCCGATATTTTGACCGATATTTATGGTCCGATTTTTTTCCTAGGAGCGATATCCGATATATCGCCGATATATCGACGATATATCGCGATATTAACAGCATAGATTTTATCTTTCACTTTTCTTTTACAGTCATTTTACCACTCCAGAAATAAAGCTCCCTCTGCAACAAAAGAAGAGGCATTGTTTTCAAATTACAATTTCAGTGCAAAAATCACCAACGTCCTCATGTGCAAACCGACTATACGTGTATCCCATCTTATAGAGATTTGAAAAGTCAACCACAATAGTTGAATGGATGTATATCCGTTCCAACTAAGTTACTAGGCTAAGGCAAATAGGCAACGATCATACAGGCCCTAATTCCACAACATGAATTTTGCTATAACGTAATCATCAAAAAGAGAAATCAGTAAGCTCTCACCATGATTAAAACTGTCTAGTAAAAGCTTCACGTCTGCCAATCCGATCCGATCCGATTGAAAACATTACCGGAAAACACAAAATGACATCTTATCACAAATTTAAAGCAGATCAAAAGCTGAATATTGAAATCGGTAACGAAAACAAATCGAACAATAAAATAATTAACGGTGTTCTTCAGATCAAGTAAAAGATTCAAACCTTGGAGGGAGCAAGTACAAGAGCTGGATTTGCTTTGTTCGTCACCGGTGAAACGGTGAAGGGAACCCCCGGTGTGGTTTATAAACTGAATATGCAGAGTTTCATAAACCACCCCTACACTTGTAAGAAATTGACATGATCTACCCCTACTTTTTATTATTATTATATTTAGAGTAAATTATGCTTTCCGTCCCTATCGTTTTGTAAATAATTTTGATTTTAGAAATTTTGGTTTTTGTTCGCATGGTTTACAATTTATTGTTATTTTTGTCCCTAAACTAATTCATATCTTAAAATATAAGAAATCAAAACAGTAAAGAATTGTAAACCATTGGAACCAAAACAATATAACAAATTGTAAATTATAATGACAAAACCAGTAATAAATTACAAACAATAGAGATGAAAACTGCAATTTCTATATCACAAAAACGAAAGTCACAATTTTTCACAAACCATAGACAAAAATTGTAATTTATTCTTATATTTATGACCCAAACATGTTAAAAGAAGCAGGTATTTTTATTTAATTGTTATTTTAGTAAATATAATTCAAAACTGACACTTAAAAATCTATAATTTAAAAAATTATCTATTTAAATGTACTAGAAGCGTACTCGCACAATGCAGCGAGATACATCGTGATTTTAATATTTCATTTTATTCTTTATCTCAGTCGATGTTATAATATGGCTTTATGTGATTTTGAGAAAACGATGATGTCTTTATCTCAGTCGATGTTATAATATGGCTTTATATTTGGTTTAATAATATAATTTTTTTATAAAGATAACAATTATTTATTTTGTTGGAACTCGATAATTATTCTAATTATATTTTAGATTTTTTATATTTTAAAATGAGATGTTCATTCTCTATTTGATTATGTTTATC